TCTTACGATTGCCGAACCGAAATATTTTTTTCTAGTCAGTTACATAAAAGACAGTTTTGGAAGTTTGAGCAGTTATACACGCTTAGCTTGGTGCATCATGTGCTGTTGTGAATTATGCCAAAAAGTACTCTATATGAAAACGTTTTCTTTTATCTACGCAAGTGATTAGAAACCGAATTTCTGATCGATTTAAATTTATTAGATTCTTTAGTTTTATTATCAGCGATATACGTGACTATGGATGGCGTCTAAGTAAATTTGAATAATAACTCGTCCAAATGACAACCAATAAAATCCTCTTTAAACTGTCTTAACGACACTTCGTTCATAAGTGTCGTGAGTTTACTTTGCAAGGAGTGGGTAGACAAACAATTTGATAATCCCTGGAGTTATTTTTAGGAACTTTGCCACCAGATAATAAGTTTTATTATTTCCCTCATTCGCTTTTATCCACTTAAAAGAACCGCACTATGTAATTTGTGGCCCCATTTATTGACGATAAATTGATAAAGAAGTGCCGATCACATTTCCGTTAAGATAAGAAGCACCTCATTGTTTAAAAATTTAATTAGTTTCGTAGAAGTTTACTTTACTCATTCTGCTATTAATCAAAACTCATTAAAGTTAAGTTGAGTTGCGACTCGATATGAAAGTAAACTGTGATAAGTTGTTAAAAAACTTAATCCTATCTTTCGGGCCAAATATTGAAATCAGTAAAGTTTACACCACGATTTTTTCTTTACCGCATCATCAAATTGCACAATTATACGAAGGAGTTTGATTGAAACAGTTCGTGAGATTACCTCAATATTTGCCAAGGAAACGGACAGCAAACTGAGTGCGACGTTGAGAGCTGACCAGCAATGGTCTTTCCAAGGTCCCCTCCAGTGGAAATAACATTACTCCGAGTCATTTCATGCCACCGCAAAAACCTTAACAAGGGACGATTCAGGCTAAGTCCGTATCTCACTAGACACGTGAAGCAAATTGTGAAAAGAGGTCATTAGGTAAAATGATGATTACAAAATTCTGAAAGGAGCGCGAAAGTCAATAAACTTAATCTTTTGTTGCACAAGATTCAACAAGTTATTTACACAAAGAGCGACGCTTGGGCAATCGTAAATTGAACCGCAAGTGCATAAATAAATGTCAAGGTCTCATTAATTCTAATTTAAAGACAAGAAGGAGACCCCGAGTACTTTGAAGGGAAAAAAGCAACTAAGAACAAAATGCACGGAAGAAAACATATGGCAGGTAGACCAGAAATTTCACAAACTTTAAAATTCAGAGGAATGAGAAACTGTCAAGAAGCTAAGAAGCTTGATTCTTCCGTGGATAGGTTTAAAAAGGAATACGAAAAGAAACTTCGGGAATTGTCGGTACAGCAATCAGCTCTTCTAGAATCACAAAGGAGACGAGAATCCCGTAGAGGTTCTCTTCCTTTGAGTTGCTCAGTCGACCTAAAGAGCGAAGATGAAAAGAAAAGCGTTGCCAAAAAAATCCTGAACCGTAGTTCTCTCTCCGATTCCGCCTTGGACCAGTACGCTAAGGAATTAAGATCTGGATTAAATGGTGAAAACAACGCTTCATTATCGACGTCTCCTCTTCTAAAACTGCCTAGTATAGCAATCCAGAAAGATGCGGGAACAGGGAAGATAGAGGTAGAAGACGTCACATCGATGAAGATGCCAGTAGACAAGCTGAAGTACTCAAGGCAGGTGCAACCGAGACTTGATATACAAGATTTGACGACCAAGCTGTCGAACGGTTATTCCGCTTCGATTATTGCATCTCCACCAATGAGAAGACCAGTGCGAAGGGGGAGTTTACAAGTCACGAATTTTTCTCCTTCGTCTGTGGAAGAACCTGTCTTAAATCGAAGGGTCTTGATGCGCAGAGGAAGCTGCCCCAACCTGGGAAACTTATGGGCGAAAAATAAGAACTCAATCGGAGGGAGCTCTAGTGGGAAACTCGACGAGCAGAAATTTTCCATGCAGGTAGAGGAGATGAAGAAGTGTCGATATTTGAGGTTTCCCACCTCTATTAGAGAGGATGACGAAGAAAACAATGAATCAGGTTTTACAGTAAAATGATCATCTCAGGAGCGAATAGAGCAACTGGAAAAGTTGTAACGATTTTGGAGGAAAATCGCGTTGAAAGTTCAAAAACTAAATCTCGTTGTGGATTAAAGTGTTCGAGATCCCCAGATGCACCCAATTACAATAAAAAAGTAAGAAAGCAAGTGATCTATTCGTCTGCGACAAAGTACTGAATGTTATGCAAATGTATGTACTGCACATTTCTTAACTTGTTTTATGATTTCCTCTTTGACAAATTCATGCACATACCGCAGCCATCTATGTAAACTGAACTGCCTTTGGGATCTCTGAAGAACTGACTGTTGCTCAACCAGTTGTAAGGGTTTCACAGATTTTCAAATTTTTTGCAGGCCTAGGTAATGCTGCGAGTCATGCCTTTTATGCTGACAATTTACGAACAAACATTTCAATCTACTCTAAAACCATTCCACTGCACGATGTTAAAAGCCAAAGAAGTAATAAAAAGTATGGTTCTTTTCGTCTTTAAAACTGAAAACTGTTGTTTGATGTTGCCGATCGAATGGCCGAACTATTAAGATCATACGTCAATGATAAAGACAGAAAGATTATACAAAAAAAGTCAATCGAACTGACATCTTGCTCTTTGATTAAAATCATAATTTATTCAAACGTCCTTGACACTGTTGCAATCTTTAAAAAATAAATTAAGGGGGTAAGTTTCTAAAGAAACTGTAGTGCTGCGTCGGTGGGGGTAACAAGGTCATTTGGTAATGATGAACTAAGTTGAACTGGTAAATTGGCCACCGTAAAGAGTTAAAAAGCTGACTTTTCGAGCATTAGCCCTTCGGGAGAGCGTTACTGAGCCCTTCGTCAGCTCTGACGAAGGGCTAACGCTCGAAACGTCAGCTTTTTAACTCTTTACGGTGGCCAATTTACTATTTCAACTTAGATGATATTACCAAATTACTTTAAAAAATAAAGTTGAGCGACTTTTGAAGTAATTTTAGTATTATCAGGAGGATATAGATGTCTTGGTTTACCCAATTCATTTAATCATTAGATTTATCGTAAAATTAATGCCCGCACGTCACTGATCATTTTTCCCAGATCACTCTGTAACTCTCGAAAAGCCATGTGAAACAACTGCGTAGCTATCATTTCAGCGTAACGAAGCAACTTGGAACATTTCAGACATAAAGGCTCTACCGGAAGTCATTAGCTACATGCAATCGTATCCTACGCTGCTTTGAAAGCCTTCTTGCATTTTACCGGCCGATGAAACTTGGAGCATTATCATGCTATATGCTAAGGGCATACATGAGTTTCTCGGAAAAATATTCGATTATAGGGCAAGAAATGTTGCCAAGCAACTCTTAAATACAGTACGTTTATGCGTAATAAATTCAAAAGTATCAATTGATGTGACATGAAGATCTTTCCGCAAATTGTCGAAAAAAAAATAAATAAAAAACCCTATGATAATAAATACCTAGCTCTGAAAATCTCCTCAAAATCTCAAAATGTCCTGTCATCAAAGAAATCGAATTAAACTGTGAAAAAAAATTTCTCTTGTACAACTGAAGTCTTTCATTGCCAATGACTGAAGGCACTTCTAAAAAGCTTTCAAACGGCAACACTCGTGAAAAAAAACTGCTTTTAGTAATAGCTATACTTTATGAATTATTCAATCGAGCATTAAAGTGAACTTTTGCCAACATAAATGGAGTTAAGTACAAAATGCGAGTGAATCAGCTAAAAGCTCTACCTTAAGTGCCTTCTCGTCTAAAATTTCC